GCAACGACTAAAACCGTTGCAAAAATAAAAAGTGCAACGATCAATAACCGTTGCAAAATGATTAGAAAGCAACGCCAAAGAGCCGTTGCAACAAAGAAAACTGCAACTACAAAAAACCGTTGCAAATCCGTTAAACGCAACGCACAATAACCGTTGCAAACGTAGCAAATGTAACGATATATAGCCGTTGCAAATTTTTGCAACGACATTTACAACGCCTTGATTGCAACGGCCATTACCGTTGCAAATGTTATTTGCAACGCCCAGTGACTGTTGCAAATCGCATGTTATGGTGTTGTGATATAACACTTACAGTCGCTGCCGCCAACCCATTTATCATGCCAGAAACAAATCCTAGCTCCATTGCCCAACTTAAAAGAAACACCCTCTCTGAATTTGGGGAGCAAACTCATAATTCCCTTCCAAAGGCTACAACCGTGGGATTGCAAATAGTCAAATATGATGTACTCTAAGCTATATTTTAAGTGATACGGATCGGCAAAAAAGGGACAACAAATGCCACAGGTTAGTTAATCAATTTTAATGGCTACTTTAAAAGAGAAAGAACAGAGAAGGCACTAACAAAACATCATAAAAGTGAGTATATATACAAGATACACAGTAACACAAAAATTAAGCATAGCGCCATAACATCAGACCAGACAATATCTAAACCAAACCAACTGTCTTTGGCTCCTATATATACTAAAAATCATACACAAGATAAATAATACAAGGCAGTGTCATAGCGCAACAGATGCAATACAAGGCAGTGCCATAGCGCGACAGCTCTTGGGCGGTCACTACGAATTCTAAGAAATAAGCCTTTCATCATATCATCATCGACTTGAACTTATCATTGTTAAAATCCGTTCCAAATATCAACTAACAAATCAGACAAACAAGATGAGAGATGAATTGTCAAAACAACTTCAACATTGCCACAAACTAACACTGCCTAGTCTACATCATCAGGATCATTAGTCCTAGTTACCTAGGACCTTGTTGTACAGGGGGGAAAGAACCAGGGAGATAAATTCAAATACTAAAACACAAGTTATGCTAAAACAGTAGACTAGGGATAAAAATCAAAATAAGTAGCACTTGATTAAAATTGTATTTAACAGAATGATATATTATATTTCAACAACTTTCCTTCTCTTGTATAATATAATTCCATTCCATCTATCATAGATCAATTTATTGACTACTACTACTATTTAAAAAAAAAAAAAACTTCCATTCTGTAATGATCAACAAGTAAACAAGAAGATTGCTGACAAAGTGAAATGAATGGATAAAGGTTTAATATGGGACTCATTCATCACCATGGCACCTTGAAAAAATAGCCAAGGAGAGAGATGTTTAGTCCCATGTAGACACTACACTTCACACAGAAAGACATAAAATAAAAGAAAACAAATGTAACGAAAACTTCAAGCTTGTTTAATGAACAATTCGAATTATATATAGAACATATACACCCTTTAAATCTAGCAGTTTATGACTTTATGCACAAAGCAAAATTTAAACCCATAAACTTTCAATTGATATAAAAATTTTTAACTCTCAACATCCAAACATCCAAACATGGACATAATCTAATCTAGTCAAATCTATATGCTTTTCAATTTAATCAAGCAACTTAGCCAAATACATGACCAGCCAACAATATCAAATTAAGAATCATCATAGCAGCATAGCATGTAACAACCAATTGAACCAAAAAAATAATTTAACAAACAAACAAACACACCAATGGTTTTGAAAACAAAGCAATCAAAGAGCAGGATACGCTCTCAAACCTGGCAAAGGCGAAGGCGAAATCTCTGAAGTAGGAGGTGTTGGGAATTGGGATTGTTTTTATTTACTTGTTCCACAATAAATAAAGAGTATCCAAAACATTAATTAAGCATCATTGCAAACATTTGCAGAGGGTTCCTACTTCCTTTTACTTCATTACTCTGACAACTTCTTGGAAATTCATCAGTTGATCAATTTCAGTAGAAACTAGTCATTAACATTATAAAATGTTTAAGCTAAGTGATCTAAATCAGTTTAAACAAAACTACAAGGTCCTCTCGATCAGTTTTACACGAATAATTATGGAATGCAGTGACCCTAAAGCTATACATACTTAAATTAATGTCTTCGAGCACTATAATGCAGTGACCATAAATCTATACTAAATCTTCCAGCATTAATTTCAAAACAAGCACCAATTTTTATTTATATTTTTCTGTTAGAAATTAAAATCATGGGTTTTCAAAGATGTAAATTACAACACCAACAACAAGAAAAAAGAAGAAGAAGAAAAGAAAAATTGTACCTTTTTTTCGAGGCATTGTAGTGATGGTGGTTGTGTTTGCTTGACGATGGTGGTGTTTGCATTTGATGATGGTGGTGGAGTAGATGATGTAGTGGTGTTTGCAGTTGATGATGGTGGGAGAGAGAGGAGAAGTTGGAGAAAGATAGAGAGGCTGAAGAAGTGTTTGGGGTCTACTTCAATTACCGGACGGAAAGGATCTGCCTGTATCCAAACCGTAACATGTTTACTCTTAATTAAACCCGATTTTCTGGGGTCTGCCTTTAGAAAACCGGGGTGCGCCTGTAGTAGGATCCAAAAAAAATTGGTGAAGAAATACTCATTAATTTTGGAGAAGAAAGAGATATTAGAGAAGAACTCATGAATTTTGAAGGAGAAAAAGACTTCCTTAGAGAAATAAATGTAGAAGAAGAAATGGGTAATATAGAAGAAATGGATAATATAGAAGAACAAGACTCACCAAGTTCTAAATCCAAAAAACAACAACTTTGAGGTAAAAAGGTTACATTTTCCAATGTTATTAACAAGTAGCATTTAAATAAGTGTAATGGAGTCAAAAATAAACCTTACAAGTCGTCATTCAACAATAAAAAAGATTAAGAATACTTCAACTTGGTTATACCAAAGAATAAACACATATTCAGTAGATGTCTGCCGAATATACCAAATTATTCCGACAGAGAGATACCGATAATATTAAATTAGTATAATCGATTATGTTTTCTAATTTGTTTTTATTAATATGTGATTGATTTGTTAACGTTATAACCATTGAGGTTAAACAAAACTTCGGTGAAATTATAAACTTCCAATTTGAAGTTTTTTAATGGGAATTGATCAATTAATATAATCGAAAAAAATTAGGGATTTTTGATTTAAGAAGGTTAAATTGCCAAATCGGTCGATTCATGGTATTCAATATAATATATATCAACTTTGGTGAAATTATAGAGTTTTAATTTGAAGGTTTTCAATGAGAATTGATAAATTATTGTAATCAGGAATAAATCGAGGCTTTTAAGTATTTTGGGGATTTCTGATTTAAGAGTGTTAAATTATCAAATTGATCGATTCATGGTATTCAATATAACATATATCAACTTTGGTGAAATTATAGAGTTCTAATTTGAAGGTTTTCAATGGGAATCGATAAATTATTGTAATCAGGAATAAATTGGGGCTTTTAAGTATTTTAGGGATTTCTGAGGTCAAATTGTCAAATTGATTGATTCATGATATTTAATACAATATATATCGAGTTTGGTGAAATTTTAGAGTTCCAATTTGAATGTTTTATATGGGAATTGATAAATTATTGTAATAAAAAAAAAATTGGGGATTTCCGATTTAAGAGGGTCAATATAATCCTCCAGCTGTATTTTCTGCAGATGGCTGACGATAATTATTTGAATGTTGGCGTTCGTCTACCGTTATTTCTTGGAAACTTCGGCAGCTGTCTACCGCATAATTATATGAAAATTGACATCCTCCTGCCGTTATTTCAAATTATTTTAGACAGTTGTCTACTGATAATGAAATTAAAGCTTTTGAAAACAAAGCTTAAAACACATTGATCCGTGTAAAATTCTTGTATGTTAAGAAATCAGAAAATTGGCAGTAGTAAATACACTGAAAAAACTCGTAACAAAATAATAATCTTTTTCTAAATTTAGATAGACTGAAATAACTTTTCTATTTCTTATACTTTAAATACTACTACTAATAATCTTTGTCTACCGAACTAATGCTTCTATTCTTATACTTAGACTACTACTACTATTGTTGTTAATACTACAAGTCTTCAAACTACTACAACTATCATTTTCAGCCCCAGCCATATCAATTTGAAAGCTATCATTTCCATCGGTTTGTAGTTCCTGAAGTCTTCGTGCACATGCGTGAGCTTTGTTTGTCATTGGATTTCTCGTATATGTCCTTTCATATGTAACCACAACTGCTAAAGAATAAAAATATGTTAAAAGACACACAATCTTAAATATATATACATTTTGATTAAATCGCTAACCCCATGTTTTTTTTTCTCTGAATATGTGCATGAGCTTTGTAAACCCCCTCCTTTAATTTAATTTAAGTTTAAATTTGGATTTATGATAATTAAGTAATTTGATGCAAGTTCTGACCCAAGGGTTTAATGCTAAATAATAATGAATTGTGGACTATGGGTCGATTAGTTAATTTGGAAAAGAAAGTTTGGTGTGATCCGGCCCAATTAGGTTATAGTAATTAGCCCATCTATATATATAGGTAATGTGGGGTTGAAATGTATTCTTTTGTTTTAAAAGTTAAAAAAAGA